TTTTTTTTTTTTTTTCTAATAACTCAAAAATACAAGTAATCGTTCAACATACCTTTCATATCTTAAATATCACATTACAACCATGTGCGAATTGTTTCTAATTCTCGCCTATAGTTTCTAGAATTTGCACGAAATGTCACTGTCCTGTCGAAATTAAATCAGGAAAGAAGAATTAACTGATTAGCCGCCGGTAAATTCAAGCCATAAGTCTGGGGTTTCTTGAACTTCCAGCGTACCGTTAGTGACCCACTAACTGACAGAAATCTTTCGAACACATCCAGTCAGCCTTCACGATTCTTGCCCGCGTAAGCAGGAAGGTGCAAAGAACTGGGAAGTCCAGTCACTGGCGAACAGTTGATCGCGTGAGAAGTGTCACTGTCCAACCCCGATCAGTTTTCCAGTTTGTCTAGATCTCAGCGTGCACGACGATTGTCGATTCGGTACGTGTTCCATTCAAATCAGTTCAACTCGTGACTCTCATAATTTTGGCTCGATCGCAATCAAAGATCACGGTGTTCCTTCGTTTGTATATCGCGTCACATATAAAGAGATGATGCGAAATGATTATAACTGGCGCACGAATGTGCGTACATACTCTATCGTCCAAAAGTTTGAAATATAGTGATCTATAATGGAAATTTAGTGGATTTATTCGTTTATAATTTCTTAGAAGAGAATAATGTTGTATTAATATAATATTTCATTTTACTTTTTTTTATTTAATTTAATTCTGTTTTTAACATAGTAGCTATCTTTAAATATATATCTTTTGATATATTCATTTAATATGTTATGTAATATGTTATTCTCTTTGAATCTCTATTAAGTAAATTATTATTTTAGATTATTATCTATATGGTACTCTCAGGATGGTGATATATATTTATTTATAATTTATTTTTTTATTATCACAATGTATTTTAGTTATGTAGGTTGTTTAAATTAAATAGGATCACTTAATTTGTTTGTAAAAAGACGATATTTCAAAACGAAAATATATCATTTCAAAAATGGAGAAAGCTTTCTTAAATTTATTATTTTTTATAAAAATTCATGATTATGAATTTTAAATGAAAGTCTATATTTTTTTATATATCAATTGGTCGAACATTTTGTTTTCTATACAGAAATATTAGATTACCTATGTTAGAAAATATTTAGTTTAAAAAATATTTCAATCCTGATTTCATCAAATTTTGGTTACTACATTTTAATAATTACTGCAGAAAATAAATTATATATATTTTATTTTAATATTATTAATTGTCACAATTTAGTACAAGGCAGAGTAAAATAAACACAAAAGTATTATTGTATGCCTTATATTTTATGTTTTATATCGCTATTGAATTATGTACGATCCATTCCGATTTATTATTTTCCGCCATTTCTCCGGAGCTTCATAATGCCATCTTTCCAAAGCTTTTGTAGTTTGCTAGTAAAGTATTGCTCGAGGTGCATTTTTATGCTATTTATTGAGTTGAATCTTTCAACGCAAAGAAAATTCTTTGATAAGAACAGTAATCAAACAAGGCAATATCTAGAAAATACAAAGAATGAGGTGAAACATCCCAGTTAAATTCTTTACAAATTCTATACAAATATGCAATATTGCGTACAGACGATGAAAAAAACTTTTGAGACAATTTAACGTTATATCATCTCGAAATGTAAATCTCAATGTTAATGATAAAATTTAAATTACAATGACAATTTGTAATAATAGAATTTAAACAAATCTGATAATTCTATTTACAGAAGAGACAATGTTGCGGATATATTTACTTTTAATCATCGCAAGTGCTGTGACAGCGCAGGTACCATTTTTGGGTTCGTGTCCTAACGTGGAAACCATACAGAACTTCGACATAAAAAGGGTACGTAAAAAGGGTACGATAACAACACGTTTCAAAGTTTATACTAGAAACTGGAATAGATTTCTTACATACCTGTGTTATTGGCTTACTTATAAAGAAATGCAACCTGCATTTAGAAAGTTGTCCTCAATAGGACATTGATATACAGGCGATGTAACGAGCGATATGTAAATTGTTTCAAGTTCAAAGATGACTCGTTCAGACTTTCTTCGAACTGTATGTCATTGCAGTAAACGTGCGTTCTTCCATTGTTTTCTAGTATTTGGGAAAGTGGTATGAGATCGAGAAGTACTTTGCATTCTTCGAGTTCGGTGGGAAATGCGTAACTGCTACTTTCAATGTAACAGACGACAGCAACTCGATCAACATTTTGAATAAGCAGATATCTTCTTTGTGAG